ACTCTACAGACCGACCTGTCGCACTCTACAGACCGACCTGTCGCACTCTACAGACCGACCTGTCGCACTCTACAGACCGACCTGTCGCACTCTACAGACCGACCTGTCGCACTCACCTGTGTGAAGTTGATGGTGAAGATGGCGTGCGAGCGGCTYCTGACGTCGTTCATGCCGGTGCTGGCGGTCGTCCGGTTTATGTTTCCCGCCTCCATCAGCTCCTCCACGTGGCTGTAGTTCTGGACCAGGTGTTTGGACAGATCTGAGGACAGAAGACATCTTCAACTTTTTATAATTAATGTTGTGCTGCTAGGAGCTATGCTGTCAGCTGGTAGGGTCTCCCATYGCAGAATGGTCCTAGATGACCGGACGTGGMTTACTGGGGCCCCACCCTGGAGCCAAGCCTAGGGGAGGGGCTTGTCAGCGAGCTCCTGGTGGCCGGGTCTCTACTCGTGGGACTTGGCCAGGCTCAGCCRGAATGAGCTACATGGACTTGTCTTCCTGTGGGCCCACCACCTGCAGGAGGGGCTGTATGAGTCAGGTGCATGATGCCATGGGCAGTAGCCAAAGGTGGGGACCTTYGCGCTCTGATCCTGGTCTACTAAAGCTGGCTCTTGGGACCTGGAACGTCACCTCTCTGGTGGGGAAGGAGCCTGAGAATGTGGGTGAGGTTGAGAGGTACCAGCTAGATATAGTTGGGCTCACCTCAACGCACAGCATGGGCRCTGGAACTGATCTCCTTGAGAGGGGCTGGACTTTATTCTTCTCTGGAGTTGCCCATGGTGAGAGGCYCAGTGCTGGTGAGGGTCTGGTTTTGGCCCACAYACTTGGTGCCTGTGTGTTGGASTTTACCCCYGTAGATAAGAGGATAGATTCCCTGCACCTTTMGGTGGGGGGGACGGGCTCTGATGGGCATTAGTGCTTATGCACCAAATGATTGTTCAGAGTATCCAGCCTTCTTGGAGTCCTTAGCGGGGGTGCTGGAAGGTGCACCAGCTGAGGATTCCTTTATTCTGCTGGGGGACTTCAGTGCCCATGTGGGTAACGACAGCGTGACCTGGAGAGGCGTGACTGGGAGGAACGGCCTCTCAGATCTGAACCCAAGCAGTGTTCTGTTGTTGGACTTCTGAGCTAGTCATAGTTTGTCCATCACAAACAACAAACACCATGTTCCAACATAAAGGTGTCCATATGTGCACGTGGCACCAGGACACCCTAGGTCACAGATCAATGATTGACTGTYTAGTTGTGTCATCTGATCTGCAGCTGCATGTTTTGGAAACTAGGGTGAASAGAGGAGCRGAGCTGTCAACTGATCACCACCTGGTAGTGAGTTGGATCAGATGGTGGGGGAAGATGCCTGACAGACCCGGTAGACCCAGGCGTGTAGTGAGGGTTTGCTGGGAACACCCGGCAGAGGAACCCATRAGACAGATCTTCAGCCCACACCTTCGGGAGAACTTCAACAACATCCCAGCCGAGGCGGYGGACARTGAGTAAGAGTGGGCCATGTTCCGCGCCTCAATTGTTGAAGCAGCTGCCTTCTCGCGGTGGCCATCCTTGAACTCCGTGGTGGACACCCAGGGTAAGGGAGGCTGTCAAGCTGAAGAAGGAGTCCTATCRGYCCTTGTTGGCTGGTAGGACTCTGGAAGCAGCTGAGGAGTATCGGCAGGCCAAGCGGGCCGCAGCCCTGGATGTTGCTGAGGCAAAAACTCGGATGTGGGAGAAGTTCGGTGACGCCTTGGACAAAAACTCTCAATCGGCTCCAAGAAGAWTCTGGCAAACCATRCGGCYGCTGAGGTGAAGGAAGCAGCACTTCACTAACACTGTGCTCAGTGAAGGTGCGGTGGTGTTTACACCAACCAGTGATGTTGTCAGGAGGTGGAAGGAATGCTTCTCAGACCTTCTCAATTCCACCAGCACGTCTTCTAWGGAGGAAGCAYAGTCTGAGGACTTTGAGCTAGCATGTCCATAACTGGAGCTGAGGTCTCTGAGGTAGTTAAAAAGCTCCACAGAGGCAGGGCTCCAGGGTTGATGAGATCTGCCCTGATCTCCTTGAGGCTCTGGATGTTGTGGGGCTGTGCTGGTTGACACACCTTTGCAACATCGCGTGGACATCGGGGGCAGTGCCACTGGACTGGTTGACTGGTGTGGTGGTTCCTCTCTTTAAAAAGGGGACCTGAGGGTGTGCTCCAATTACAGGGGCATCACTCTCCTTAGCCTCGACTGTAAGGTCTGTTCAGATGTACTGGAGATGAGAGTGATCGATAATCGAACCTCAGTTTCTGGAGAAAAATGCGGGTTCTCTCCTGGCCGTACAACACTGGACCTGCTCTTTACCCTCACTAGGGTCCTCGAGAGGTTATGAGAGTTTGCTAATCCAGTCTACGTGTTTTGTGGATTTGGAGAACACATTGGACCGTGTTCCTCAAGGTACACTGTGGGGGGTGCTACATGAGTATGGGATTGTGGGTCCGTTTGCTATGGTC